CAGCATCGCTGCCCCCAGTGGTGAGTCTGTGCTATGGCGCCTCCTCTCCGCGCCCCTCCCTTGCCGTGCTCTGGAAACCCATCCCATTCCAGGCACCTCCCGTTGTCCTGCCGCAACCAAACCCCGGCCTTACATTACATTAGGGTAAAAGGAAGCTGAATCCCACATTCACTGATCCTAGCCTTAAGTTTCCAACAAACACTCAGCTGCACAGACAGACGGACACAGGCTCTCCGAAATACGTAGAGAGATACAATGAAACCTCCTCTTCTCCTCCCTTTGGATTTAATGTTTGAAAGGGGTTTCAAATGTTTGTCTTAACTCACCTTTCTAGAATAATCCTTTTTCCTGCTAAACGCTTCTCTCTTTACCTACCTTGATAGTTTTTTCTCTTAATATTGAATTTATTTTAAAATAGTCTTATTACTTTTTAAATGCTCTTTCTTCACCTTAGCGTTAATATTTATAGCTTTCCTGAGTGGTTCTCTCTTAGCCTGCCTTCATCGAATAAGCCTTTTCTCTCATTTTCAATCTAAACAGTCATCTTTTCCTCCATCTTTGCAAGAAACTCCACTGTGTCTATACACATTGTTAAAGCTTTATCATATTTATATTGTTTTTAAATTCCCACTTTACCGCTGGCTTACTGATCTTTACTACAAACTGCACTCTCACGTAAGTGTTCCAGGGGGTAGCCGAGTTAGTCTGTTACAGAAAAAAAAATGGTCTGGTAGCACTTTATAGACTAACGAAACATGTCGATGGGGTCATGAGCTTTCCTGGGCACAGCCCACTTCTGCAGATGACCAGAGTTATGAGTTGGGGATATAAAAACTCGAAATAAATAGGAGAGGGGAAGGGGAGGGGGGAGAGAAAGGAAAAGGGAGGGGTGGGGGTCAGCATCATTAAGTATCTGAGAATGGGTACTTAAACGTAGGCAGAGAAAAATCCAAGTCAATAGATAGATTGCTAGACAGGGAGGGTACCACTCAGAGAGGTGGTAGCACCTTTCCTGGTTATTAAGTAGGTTGAGTCCCCACCAGCCCATATCACCATTGAGTCCGTTAGCATGTGAATTGAATTTGTGGATGAACTGGGCTTCTCTGTGTATTTGGCTTGTAGAGCTGGTTTGTGGCAAGGGAGCTGCTTGCAGGTCTGCCAGACTGCGGCTAGGCAAGCTCAAATGCTCACCAACAGGCTTCTGTACATGCCCTTCACATATACCCCACTTTACGTACACTGCATCGGAGACATCGTCATCATATGGACCCACGGAAAAGAGACTCTTGAAGAATTCCACAAGGATTTCAAAAATTCTACCCTACTCTCATCCTCAGCCTGGACCAGTCCACAAGGGAAATCCAAGTTCAGTTAAATAACGGACACATTTCCACATCAGTGTGTGTAACTAAACACGGATTTTTCCGCTAGTGTTTATATTTTCCGTACTGCTATTCCTTTTAATCCCCACATTACCAGACATTTGCTAATCTTTACAACAAACTAGATTCTCACACCAGTATGTGTGATTAAACACAGACTTCGCCTCCATTTTTAAAGCTATTCCGAATTTTTCTTCTTTTCTAATCCTGGCATTAGCCTGTATTTACTAAAGTATAAAACAAACAACTCTGTCTTCTAGGTAAATTAACCTTTCTTTCGTGTATCCTCTAAACTTAACCAACAATCTTTCTTTTTCAAACCAAAATTCATGAAAGTCTCTCTTTTCTCTCAGCTTATCTTAAAAATTACCCCTCTTCGAACAGCATAATAACGATCAACTTTTTTCTCGCAAAACGACTGATGGCTAAGCTTTACCAAAAATCTTTCATAACCCATCTCTCATCTCTCCTACTTTTCCTCTCTCAAAAGTTTCCTCTTTTCCAACATTATATAATAATAATAATAATAATACACTTTTTTCTCTCAAAATGGCTGACAGGTAAACCTAATAAAAAATTTCATAATCTACCTTTGTTGTTTCCTACTATTGCTCGATACGTCTATCAAAGCCCAAACACTACACCATCCCCAGCCAAATATAAACCGAAATTGTATTGTGACAAATGCTGTCACTACTGCTTTTATATCTGGAAACTAGAACCTGTAAACAATGAAGTTCGAAGTTAGATTGTTTTCTTTTACACTTCCATTAAGATTTGGGGTCGTACCTCCATTAGTTGCCTTTGCAATTCCCTCTCAATATTCCTCTGTTGCTATATTCAATGTTCCTTTTCCCTGAAATTGTTACAGAAGAAAACAGGTGTCAGATTTTGACTGGGCCCTCCCACCTCAACGCTCTTTGAAGAGTCTGTGCACCACTGGAAGAAGAAGTATCTCCGCAAGGAAATCTAGAAGAAGCTGTGAAAATGTCTCAGCCAAGAGCGGTAAATTTTTGATCTTACAGAAACTTGCTGTGTTCAACCCAGACTCGAGTTCTCTCCTTTTGAACAAACGTTTTGCAGTTTTTGGATCCGGTTCAACTCAAATTGATACCCCCTTTTGCCCCAATTTCTCAGAACTTTCAATGACCTGGAAAGCCTGTCACTGGCCAAGCTCTGCCTGGGACCTTGGCTGAGGTCTCTAGGTACAGGCATGGTACAGATATAAGCAGGGAATTTCTGAGGGGCGTGTAATAGTGTAATGGCCACAGGGTTGATTTAGGCCTGCGACCTCTGAAGCTGAGTGACCTCTACAGCATGGGATGGGAGGCAGCTGGCTTTTAGCTCAGCGGGTAGAGGCTCCTAGAGTCCCAGGTTCAAATCTGCCTGGTGGCAGTTACACGAGCTGCGCCTATCCCCCCAAATCTCCACTTCTTGGTGGCCTTTGAAGGAATCGTGCTTTTAATTTAGGGCCTTTTATTTTTGGCAGGATGACACCAGTGTCCGATTTTCCCCGGAGCTCTCAGAAGGGGAGAAAGAAGCCACCAGGAGCAGGAAGGTGAAAGTCCTGGAGTGTCTCAACAACCTGGGTGTTTCCTGCGATGAGGTAGGCCTCCGTCATGCTCCACAGCGCTAAGGGGAACAGCCTGGAACACTAGCCACACCCCTGGGGATGGAGGTGCCCGGTATAGCGTGCAACAGAATGTTCCCAAACCACAGGGAGGCGGCCCGTGGTCACAGACACACACAACTTGCATCCTGGGTTCAAACTTGGGGCCTTAGGTGCTTGAGGCAAAAGCCCTAACATCCGCCAAGCAGTACGGGGCTTTGTGGGGCCAGGGGAGATGCCACCCTCAATAGGCCCCTAAATAAGCTGGCGGGAGGGACTGACCCTGTGTCCTTGTGGGAGTGGAGGGGTTCGGGATGAAAGGGCAGAGCCGGGGGTAGTCAGCCCTCAGCTATTCCCAGGGAGAGAGAGTTGGGTGGAGTGCGCTATTGACCCTTGATGGACAGATTGCTAAGATCAGTAATGGATGGGGACTGTGTAACATGCTTCCCATATGCATCACAGCGCCCTCTGCTGGTTGAACTGCACGGAGGGTAAAAGCCAACTACTGCTGCCTACCTGCTGTGGTGATTCTCTTACTGGCATGGTGGAGCTGTGGAGAACCCCCCAGGAGAGTTACCTAGCATTAAGAAGTGGTGGTCCTGGAGGAAAGAGAGCTCTACACACCTGACATACCTGAGGGACCTCTCCTGTCTTTGGGCCTTGCAGATGCAGCTTAGGAAACTTTCACTGCTTCCTCCTCACACTAGTCTTCCTAAGAGAGAGTGACCTTGATTTTTTTGGTGCTCAGGAGTCAGTATCTCTCGTTTTCATCGATCCTGTTGGTGCATTAGCATTCAGTGCCTCCTTTCACAAAATCACCATTTTTCATCCAAAAGTCCATTACAGATAAAAAAAATTAATGCTTTTGAAACTTTAAATTTCGACATTAACATTTTGCAATTGTGAAGGAAAGCAGGCAATTTGGGGAGCATTTCGGGGGTTTTGGAGAACTCTCCAATCCCTCCTCCCCTTAATTTTTGATGAACAGTTTGGTTCCTCCAAGAAAGCCACATTTTCTAGGAATAAAAATCGTTTTGTGACCACCTGCACTTCAGACATTTTGGGGGCTCAAAGACGGATCCTCGTATGTGAAACATTTGTTCTAACATACAAGCAGACTGGCTCCCAGGAATCATGGAGATTGAGGGTCGTAAACATGGAGACAGTATAGAGATCCAGTAAGTTTGAGTCAAATTTCAAGACTAATGGAAACCAAAGGGAGTTAGGAACCTGCATTGCCCTCTAATCCCTCACCCTCATACCTTCCCTGAAAGGGTCTGCCCCCGGACTGAGTACCAGAGAGGCCTCAGCGTTCTTCCTTCATTTGTCATTTTCTCTTCCCCTCTCCCAGAAGACCATGCCCAATATCGCCGTGCTAGGATCGGGCGGGGGCCTGCGGGCCACAATCGCCCTTCTGGGAACCTTGGCGGAGATGAAGAAACAAGGCCTGCTGGACGCTGTCATGTACCTGTGCGGGGTGTCGGGTTCCACCTGGTAGGTGCACATCATCAGAATAGCTTCCGAGGGATGCAGATGATGGAGTTTCTCTCTTGCTCAGCTCTCTGGAGAGGGCCTGG